ACCGCCCAGCGCCTCCGGCCCCAGCGACGGTTGCTAGGAGACCCGAGGCAGCAGGCGAAGGAGCCGCCCCCTACGGCGTGGGGCACGGTCCGTGTCAGGCGCGCGTTTCGTTACTCAGAGCCGTGGAACACGGCGCGCGCTGCTCTTGGGGGCATCAGCGCTGGTGGAGCGCGAGCCCCTAGTCCCTCCCCCCACTCCCCTTCTGCACTGCTCTGCCCGCTCCTTGTTCTGGGGGCGCGCTCCCAGCCTGAGTCGCTCCGTGGGCACGTGCAGAATCCAGATTTGGGGCAAAGCCCGACGTGCTGCACCCTGGAATGCTTCATTTAGGACAGGGCTGCACCAGCCTGCCCCGTCCCAGCTGCCTCTGAGCTGGCTGCATCAGTTATGAATGTAACAATGTGATTGAACCCTGGCACCTCTTTCGTTCCAAATTAAGCCGTGCCAGGTGCCAAGCACTGACCAGCAAGCTGGCCAGTAGGGTTGCCAGATGGTTTCAACAAAAAATACCCGACACGCTTGACATTACATCACAATCGACATTACATCTTATTTAGAAAATTTTCTCAATTTATTTCCCAAACAGAAAGCTCAAATACTGGACTGTCCAGTTCAAAACTGGACACCTGGCAACCCTACTGGCCAGGCCCAGGGCTCAGTTAGAAGGGGAATCTGGAGATTGAGTTGTGTGGGTCAGAGGCAGTTTAGATCTTTCTGTCTGGTGTAGAAGGGTTGTGGTGTGCGTCTGTAACAGATATAAGTTGCACGTCTCATTGATTTGACATCTGGCATACTTGAGGTCTTCACAGGAGTCATACACACAATGAATTATGTATACAGGCAGTCCCCGGGTTACGGGTTACGTACAAGATAGGGACTGTAGGTTTGTTCTTAAGCTGAATCTGTATGTAAGTCGGAACTGGCGTCCAGATTCAGCCACTGCTGAAACTGATCAGTTTCAACAGCGGCTGAATCTGGACGACATCTGGCATACTTGAGGTCTTCACAGGAGTCATACACACAATGAATTATGTATACAGGCAGTCCCCGGGTTACGGGTTACGTACAAGATAGGGACTGTAGGTTTGTTCTTAAGCTGAATCTGTATGTAAGTCGGAACTGGCGTCCAGATTCAGCCACTGCTGAAACTGATCAGTTTCAACAGCGGCTGAATCTGGACTTACATACAGATTCAACTTAAGAACCCCAGGTATCCCCAAGTCAGCTGCTGCTGAAACTGATCAGAG